AGCCTGGGCGACAGAGTGAGACTCCAACTCAAAAAACTAAAAATAAACAGGTTGTTGTGATAAGGATAGGAAAGGAAGGGTCTTCCAGGAACAACTCTAGGGGACTTCAGTGACTAAGATCTCAATGATAGGAAGATGCATGAAAAGAAACCAGTAGGCAAAAACCTTTAGAAAGCAAACCCAGATCATTATAAGCAGAAGAGAAGTAAAAAAATATGTAGAGAGAAGAGACATGAGAAATCAACTAACCAGGGTGCTTTTGGGTTGCCAGAACTACTGATTGATTTTTAAAATCTAGAGCCCCTGTTGTCTCCTGAATATGTTTATAAGTAGATGTGTATATTTCATCTACCATCTTTATTCTGTTATGGGATAAGCCTATCCATCTACCTATCAATCATCAAATGATCTATTTATCTGTCCACCCATCTAATCATTTCCATATTTGGGACATTTAGATCATTGCCAGTTTTTAGCTATTAGGAGCAATACTAGTGATCTTTCTTCTATACACTTTCTCATGTACATGTGTGAGATTTTTGTAGCTATCTGAAATTGAAATTGCTGGTGGTACAGGATGCCTACCTTTACCTTTATTAAAAATTGTAAATTTGTTTTCCAAAGTTGTTGTTTTTTTATGAATTTACTTCCCCACTAGTAATATACACGTGGCCCTATCAGACTTCAGAATTTTCTCCCAATCTAATGGGTGTGAAATGGTATCTCATTATTGTTTTAATTTACATTGACTTGTTAGGGAGGCATGTTTTCAAATACTTATTGGCTATTTGAATTTCCTCTTCTGAGAATTTATATTCTTTGCCCATTATTCTATAGTAGTTTGACTTTCTTATTGATTAATAGTGTTTTGAATACAAATACCTTTTTGATTATATACATTGCAAATATCTTCTTTTATGGCTTGTTATTTAACATCATGGTATTTTTGGTTATGGAGTTTTAAATCTTAATGTTTTCAAGTTTATCAATTCTTTTCCTTTACAGTATGTGCTATATCAGTCTTATTTAGAAATTCTTCCTTAACTTGCAATCATAGATTTTTGAATCTATATTTTCCTTTTTTCCCTCCCCTTCTTCCCTCTCTTCCTTTGTCCCTCCCTCCTTTCTTTCTTTCTTGTCTTCTTCTTTTGTCTTTTTTTTCCAAAATGGGACTCTCACTCTGTTGCCCATACTGGAGTGCATTGCATGATCATAGCTCGCTGCAGCCTTGAACTCCTGAGCTCAAGAGCAGAGCCTATATTTTCTTGTGCATTTTTTATTCATTAATTTACATTTATTAACTACTATAGCAAGGCAGTATGTTGACTGCCAAAAATACTAATATATAGTCTATAATTTATATTAAGGGTCATTCTTTATGCTGTACAGTTCCATGGATTTAACAAATCTATAATGCCATGTATTTGCCACTAGAGTATCATAGAATTTCATTGCCCTAAAATTCCCCTATGTTTCAGTCCTCCCTCCTTCTGCCTGAAACCCTGGCAACCACTAATCTTTTTACTCTCTGTATAGTTTTGCTTTTTCCAGATTGCCATATAGTTCCTCCATGTCCTTTTGTGACTTGATTCCTCTTTCTTTTTATCACTGAATAATAAAGTTACATTGTATGGATGTAGCACAGATTTTTATCAGTTCGTATACTGAAGGACTTCTTGACTACTTCAAAATTTTTTGAGTTATGAATAAAGGTGCTATAAACATTAGTGTGCAGATTTCTTTGTGGATATGTTTTCAAGTCACTTGGGTAAATACCAAGAGGTATGACAGTTGACTGTATGGTAAGACTATGTATAGTTCTGTGAAAATCTGCCATACTATCTTCCAAAGTGGCTGTACCATTTTACATTCTGTCAGTGATGAATGAGAGTTTCTGTTTCTCCATGTCTTCACCAGCATTTGGTTGTCGGTGTTTTGCATTTTAGTCATTCTAATAGATGTGTAGTAGTAGTATCTCATTGTTGTTTAAAGTTGCAATTCTTAATCACAAATTATGTTTAACACATTTTCATATGCTTGTTTGTCATCTGTATATCTTCTTGGTGGAGTGTTCTGATCCTTTGCCCACTTAAAAATTGGGTTTCTTTTCCTATCGTTGAGTTTGAAGAGTTCTTTGTGTATTTTGAATGCAAGTCTTTTATTGAATATGCTTTGTAAATACCTCACTTTATGGCTTAACTTTTCAATTTCTTAAAAGTATCTTTCACAGAGCAAATGTTTTTAATCATAATGAAGTACAACTTAGCAACTTTCATGAATTGTGCTTTTGGTGTTGCATTTAATAAATAACTGTCAAACCCAAAGTCATCTAGATGTTCTATATTGCCTTCTAAAAGTTTTATAGTTTTGTGTTTTATTTTTATGTCTACAATTCACATTTTGAGTTACTTCTTGTGAAGAGTATAATATCTGTGTCTATATATAAATATTTTTAAGAGAGTCTTTCTTTGTCACCCAGGCTGGAAGGCAGTGCTAAAATCACAGCTCACTGCAGCCTTGAACTCACGGACTCGTGATCCTTCTCCTTCAGCTTACTGAGTAGCTGGGACTACAGAAGTGTCTCAGCATGCCCTGTTAATTAATTAATTAATTTACTTTACTTTTTGTGGAGACAGGGTCTCACTATGTTGCCTAAGCTGGTCTCCAACTCCTGCCTCAAGTGATTATTCTCGCTTTGGCCTTCCAAAGTGCTGGGATTACAGGCATAAGCCACTAGATTCATTTTTTTATTTTTTTGCAAGTACATATCCAGCTGTTCTAGCACCATTTATTCAAAAGGCTATTGAATTATCTTCCTCTTTGGTCAATTATCAGCTATTTTTGTCTGGATCAATTTCTAGATTCTCTATTCTATTGATCTATTCATTTGACAATACCAGTCTTGAATGCTGTAGCTTTAGAGTAAATCTTAAAGTTGGATTCTTCTATTTTCAGACTTTATTTTTCTTTACATGGTGTTGGCTATTCTTGGTCTTTAGCCTCTGAATGTAAACACTAGAATTAGTTTGTTGATATCCATTCACAACATAGCTTTCTGGAATTTTGATTAGAACTATATTGAATGTATATATCAAGTTGATAAGAAGTTATGTTTCTTGTACATTTTAAAACTTTTGCCTTTACCATTTTGGTTTTTAATCTTCCTAGGATTTTGTTTTATGCTTAATTAGATCAAAATTTGTTTACCACATGAAAAGCAATTGTTCCAGTACTATTTATTGACTAACCTAATCTTTCTCATTTCTAATGCTACTTTTGTCATATACAAAGTTCTCATATGTGTAGGTTTTTTTCCTTGGGTCTTTATTATGCTTTGATGGTTTATTTGCCCATTCCTAAACCAAAACATAATAAATCCTGGCAGGATGGGTCCTCTCAATTATTATCCAACCCTACCTGCTCCCCAAATCACAGTAGTTTTTCTTGGATCTTAAGTTTTGGTACAAATGTCAAAGTCATCTTAATAAGTCCTGTAAAAAACCCTGTTGAGATTGTAACTGGAATTGCATTACATGCATTGATTAGTTTAAGGAGATTTGAGATCTTTATATTAATCTTTTCTTATTTATGAATATGGCTCATTTCTCCATTAATATATCTCCATTAAGATCATGTACATTTTTTGTTACTTTTATTAGGTACCTAATAATTTTTTTTACTTCTGGACTCATTTAAAATGACAAACTAATGCAGTTTCCAAATAATTTTCATAATTTGCTATTAAGTTATTTTAGTTAGAAAATATAGACTTAAAATTCCTAAAATGTCAACTGATCAGTAAAAAATACATACAATTTGTACAAAAATGTAAGATACTATCTGAAATGTGAAAGTATTTGAATATTGATTAATTCTCCCCAAATTGGTAGGAACAAATAATCTAACGTCTCCTGTAGTAATTTTAAAAAAATTTGCTTCAGTCTCCAAAATTTGAATCAATTTTCTTCCTGTATTATAAAGCTCATTTCCCCTCTTTTTAGTTTAGGAAGTTTACTGTTATTTGTGAAGCAATTACTTTGTGATTTACAAAGGTAAATAGGTTCTTTCTGAACAATCAGAATGTAAAATTATGATAATGATCAATTAAACATTTTAAATGTTAATTAAACTGAGTCTAGTTGAGGAATTAATTTCTACTCACAAATGTATTAACCAAGTGCCGCGGGGAAGACAGATTCAGAGGTCAAATCCCAGCCCATTTGCTTCCAACTACAAGAAAAATGAGAAGGGCCAAATAAATGACTTGTGGAATATCTAGTTTCCAGAACTCTCTTAACAGGGGAAATGGCTGCTCTAAGGAAGACACTGCGACTTTAGGTCTCATGACAGCAGTGTCGAGGTCCCTCAAGAGACTCTCACGCTGAGCCTCAAAACTATTTTCTCTCCTTCCCTTTCATCTTTGTCCCAGACTCTACTGTTCTTCCTGGCTTCGAATAATTCTCGGTATAGTCAAACAACATTTGACTCTAAAAATAACCCTTAAAGTTGTCTTACCCAAATACCTTAACTAAGTTCATCCCGAGTACTGTGATCCCAGTGTATTGCTAACGGGAGTTTAAGGGACCAATCCAACTAGTATGTGGTCCCCAGCACACAGCAGCTCCAAGAGCAAGGCGACCAAGTGGATTCAGTTTGCTCAGACTCAGGCCAAGTTCACTGAAAGATGCTGGGTTATTTCAGAACGTGTCCTCTGCTTCCCCCAAAAATGCTGCCTTAACTCGGGCCCAGGACCCCACGACCTCCCGGATCAGGTGAGCCAAAGCTCTAATGCCTTGTGGGGTTCGGCAGGGCTCAGGTGCCGGAGAAGAAGCGAAGCGTTTTCCAGATCAGCAGGTCACAGAGCCGCGGGACAACCGCGGCCGACAATCCCACCGCGAGCAGCCAACCCCTCCCGCGTGGAAGCTGGAAAGCCAGCCAGGGCCCCTGACGCAGCGAAGGCTCCGCCCCGCGCGTGACGCCGGCGTCAGGCCAGTCCCGGCATGCTCCGCGGCCGCCCGCGGTCGAGAACCGACAAGAGGAATTTTCCCCGAGTGTGGCCCGGGCTCCGTTCAATTGCTGTCCAGACCGGGTCGGCGACAGAGCCACCTCCAGTCATTCTCCTGCCGCTCGCCCGCCCGTCCGAGCGCCCCCAGCCCTCCCGCGAGGGCGCACCGGGACGGAAGGATCCACCAGCCTGTCGGCGCCCGCCGTTCTCGTGGTCGCCGTCGCCGTCGTCGTTGTGGTCGTCTCCGCCGTCGCCTGGGCCATGGCCAATTACATCCACGTCCCACCCGGCTCCCCGGAGGTGCCCAAGTTGAACGTAACGGTTCAGGATCAGGAGGAGCAGCGCTGCCGGGAGGGGGCCCTGAGTCTCCTGCAACACCTGCGGCCCCACTGGGACCCCCAGGAGGTGACCCTGCAGGTAACGCCCACACCTCCGCCCTGGGTCTCTCAGGGCCCTGACGCGGCGCTGGGGCTTCTCACCACAATCCCTTTTATTCCCCGACGACCTTCTAGGGGAACGTCTCCTTTCTTAGTCCTTTGGGAAATGACCCTGTATTTCCCTCTGTCACACCTAGGAAGGTCACTCCCCCTTCCTTCACTGTCGTTTATTGAGATTGACCTGGGGGCACGTTTTCTTTTTCTAGAAGCGGCTACGTAAGTGACGCAGCCAACCACAGTGGGAAGATTCCTGTTGATAGTTGCCCCTCCTCCCACTCCCCAGTTCATGCTCATTGCAAAATGAGCCTTTTCCACTCCGGTTGCAAAGGTCCTGGCCTACCGGCCCGAGTAACACCCTCCCTTTGTACAAATAATGCGGTAATTAATCCTCTCTGATCTTTTCCTCTCTCCCCTCCCCCGACGATGTACTCCCATTGATGCCCCACACTGCGTTTTGTCTTAATAAATCCTCTAGTTGGCGAGAGTACTCGATTCCAAAGTAAATGGCATTACAATGCATTATGACCATGCTTTGCTAGATCGGGTTCCTAGGTAGCACCACACATATTGTTTTATTTGAATAGATATTTCTAAATTATTAAAGTCGTCTTAGTAAAATTAATATCTGATGTTAGAGTGAGCAGTGGCTTGTGCCATTTTCTTTCTGGAGCCATTGTATTCATATATAGACAAAATATTGGTAGAAGAAATTCCTAAGACTCTAGAAGTTTTGTAGTAACTCGGAAGTTATGATTTTGTATACATAACTTCTTTTTTTGAATACTAATTTGCTTTTCCCTTTTGCAGTATATAGTTTCAGGAGCTATATACGAAAGTGAATCTGTTTTTCTCCTTTTCCCTTGCAAACAAAAAACAGAGTAATTTTAAAGGTTGGGATATTGAGTTAAAAAAAAATAATCTGAGCAATAATATAAGAACATTCTTGTGAATTAGTCAAATCATCTGCCTCGTTTTGATGACTAATATGTATTCAGCAATGTTTAATGGCTCAATTCTTTACTAATTTATTTGGCTAAACTAGCCAACCACTTTATACAAAGTTGAATAAAACATAAGCAGTGCCTAGGGCCCAGAACAGTTCCTGACACTTGGGCTTTCATGAGTGTTAATTTCAGTTTCTTATTGCCTAGGTGAGTTTTAAGCAGATTAAAAGGACCCATATGTTTGGAAAATGAAAGTAGTTAGACAAAAAATTTTGAAATTTTAAGAGAACATTTGTTTGCCAAGTATATAGGAAATAGTGAACCCAAAATGATTCTCGTGTGTTATTTTAAAAAATCAATGTATTTTCTTCAAGAAAATGTGTCTTCAAAATTGAAACTCAGTACTTGTTTAATTTGTTTGTAGTTTATTATATAAGGTTCTTAAAATTATTAAAGTGACTTATTTTCTGGTAGTCAATTATGAGTCAGACAGATATGTTATTAAATAAAGGCAGTGATACTTCCTGAAAAACTCTAGCTCTGGTAAATCACGTTACTTTTTAAGCAGTGACTTTAAAGTTTGAAGCTTTGACGACTGAAAGTAATAATAGCTAATAGCTAACATGGGGTATTATGTGCCAGGCTATAGGGTGAGGTGATTTTTTTTTTTTTTTTCTCATCATTTAGTCACCCAAACAACCACATTAGGTAAGTACTATCTTTTTTAGGTGAAACTCAGTAAAGGAGGGCCAAGAGGTATAGGTAAAAGACAAAATGTAGTGACATCAAACTGTTTTTGATTGCTGAAAAGTGACTACTTGTGATTGAATCTTGACTTCTGTGTAGCAGTTTTTAACTTTAAAACCTTTGGGTTTATAATCCAAGTTTATATTTATTTGCAAGTGAAGGTAAATACTATCACTTATTTTGCTATAAAGATTATTAGTTAGAAATACATCCTCCCATGTACAAGCAAACTTTGATCTAGAAGCTGAGGTGCATCTTCTAAGCTGAATTGGTTATTCACCTCTCAACTCAACACATCAGTAGATCATTCTAGGTCGTTATAAACTCCACCTCTATGATGTTTCAGGGTTTCTTTAGTAAATGTCAATGGGCATATTTTCTATTGAAATTTTATTTTATTTCCCTTGAAGTGTAAAGATAAAAAAATTACACTTCATATTTCTCAAGGGGAAGTATGTATCATATAGTCAATAGATTATAATGTCATTTTAGAATGGTTGGGTATTAGAAGTTTAGCCTATATTTTCTCAAAGTTTTTTTTTTTTCTAAAATTTTTATATGTTTAAAGTATGCTTTTAACATACTTTAGAAGCTTACTATAGTAATACTTACCTAAGTTGGTGATTACTACTGCAAGCTGGACTATCTGAAACATACTGAAACATCTAGAAACAAGCAAAAATGACTTTTTGTTTTTTGGAGTCAGGGTCTTACTCTGTCGCCCAGACTGGAGTGCAGTGGCACACTCATGGCCACTGCAGCCTTCATCTGCTGGGCTCAGGTGATCCTTCTGCCTTAACCTTCCTAGTAGCTGTGACTACAGGCACACACCACCACGCCTGGCTAATTTTTTGATTTGTTGTGGAGACGAGGTCTGGCCAAGTTGCTTAGGCTAGTCTCCAACCCCTGAGCTCAGGCAATCCTCTCACCTCTGCCTCTCAAAGTGTTGGGATTACAGGTGTGAGCCCTTGCGCCTGGCTAAAAGACTTTTATACAGTCAAAACAATAACCCAGTCTTTGCCAAAAATTTATGGGCATGTGGAATAATAGATCTCATTTTAGATAGGGTTCCTGTTCTTGCAAGATTGAAAGAATAAAGTATAAAGGAGATAGTGAGTTTTGTGGAGTATAGTAACTGAGATTAGGCAGAGTAGATCCAAACAACAATAGAAGCCACAATACTTTGCTTTTAATAATACTTTACTGTTTATAAGGCGCTTTCACATACATTCTCCTAACTATCCTGTGAGGTAGATGTAGACACATAAACTGTTAATACATATTTTATAGTTAATGAAACTGAATTTGTGGTTTGTAAATGGTGACTATGATGAGAACCAATTTTACAGATTATTGCTCTTTGACCAAGAAAAGATTAGGTACAAATATTATAATCAAGACAGGGAAGCCACTTCTGTATACAACTGATGTCTTAAAAATGAAAGCTATAGCTCATAAGAATTTTCCTTGAACATACATTTGCATTATTTTTTCCATGTATGACACCGTTTTAGGAAAAAAGAGATCACTGCAGCTTTCCTTTAAGATATTGACTTCTTTTGTTGTGTAACAACTCTCTCCCTAACCTATTTGAAGGTTTGGATTTTTGATTTGTTTACATTTCTTTGTATAGTCATTGCATAAAGGAATAAAGAATCAAGTCAGGTCTCAGGTCCAATAGACTAATTCTCAAGAGACACATTTTTTTTTTTTTTCTGAAAGAGTTGATGAATTAGTGTTTGGAATATTCTTGCATGTTATTTCAGGGTCTTTTTGTTTGCAATGATATGTAGTTTGGGCAGAATAGAGTGTGAGCAAGAACATAAGTAGGAATGATTTCTGGGAAGGGTTGTTTCTCATTAACTTGTCATCTTGAGAATTTTTCCATAACTTGGGACTTTTAGTAGATATTATCAAAGGCTTGATAGGTAAGATAGTAAAACCATAGTTCTTATGTAACATTATAAAACTAATATATCTATTATTATAAGGTCTCGATGAGATTGCTTGCTGTATGGTATCTTATATCCACTTAATTCTTCATTAACAGTACATTATAGTGCTCAAGAGCATGGTTCTATGCAGCATGCAACACAGTGCTGGATTTAACTTCAGGCTGTGTACTAACTCTGTTACCCTCCATCCTAAGCCTCAATAGCTTTAGCTGTAGAATCGACCCAGTAATAGTACCTATCTCAAGGGATTGTGAGAGTGAAATAAACGGTGTCTCTCATGGTAATTATTATTGCTGCTGAGCACCTACTATATATTGGATGCCTGAATCAAAAAGCAGATATCTGCTCTTTGAAATTTCTAGTCTGATGGGGAAGACAAATAGGAAAATTATAACAGTGTAGTGTTTTTGGAATGATCGTTCAAGTTTTGTTCACATGCAAAGATTACATAAGAAGTTTAACAAGTGTACTTTTTCTACTGTACTTTTTTAACATCCCTTCATTTGTAAAGCATCTGTACATTATCTGGGAAACTAATCTTTGTGCTAGTGTTTGGAATATTCTTGTATGTTGTTTTTCTCATTAGCTACACAGCAATTTTCGTGTCTTCTTCCTTTTTCTAATCATGTTAGGTAGTTGCCTAAATATTCTATTAAAAATATGTAACCCCCTTTATTTTAATTTTGATATTATTATATATTGTTCTTTGTCTTAAATGGAGAATAAAAAAGCAGATGTATCAGTTGCTCTATTAGGGTCTATCTTCTTTAGTGTTCTCATTTAATAATTGATTTTCTTTTGTTCTGAAAAAGATGAGTTTGTTCCTTTAAGCAGTAGAAGTTTCTGAAAAATCTTAGGTATATTAAACTCATATATTAAGTGTGCCAGAATCTTGAGTCTTGTAGACAGTTTAAAGTGTTACAGTTTGTATTCAGTGTAATTTTTAATATCAGTGTTTGAATCCAGTTTTCTGTTTTCTATTCCTTCTGTCTGTTTCCATTGTCTTAGAATAATAAAGTTTAGGGTGGATAGCACTACATGAGACTATATTGACTATGGCCACAAGAACTGTATGATGTTTGATAAGCTCCTATCAAAAATGTGTAGTGTTTTTTAGGCTCCCATGTATTTTATTAAGATGTGACTATGAAGTCAGGAGCTTAAAGTGCTAGTTCATTTTCATGTATAACGCTGTGAATATAACACTCTTTATGAGGTCTTAGTGTAATGTGGTGGAAAGAGGATGGTTTTTGAATCTTATTTCCAACTATTTGCAACCTTTGGCAAGTTTTTAGATCTCTTTGTAAAATGGGATTACTACCTACTTTGGAAAA